CCGTTTTAATCATAACTTTTGCGTTTTAGCTCCGAATTTCGTGAACTTCGCGTTGACGTGATTGTAGCAAGACGTAGATTCTTTTCATAAACATTTTATTTTGTTTTATATACTATTGGTGTACTGTTCTAATGATAGGAATGTTTGCTTTGCATGAATGCTTTTGGAATGTGTATGTTGCCATGTTGGTCGCGTTCAGACGGTGAGGAGAACGTTGGAGACCAAGAATTCTTCGACGACCAGCAGGACCAGCAAGAGTTTGTTAACCAAGGCAAGTATAGCATGGGCCTACCTTGATGTCCTATTCACTTTAATCATTTAATCATGTGCATGTGTCAAATTTTGATCACCATAAGGATATTCTAGTCATTTGATGACTTGTTCCCTTGACGCCTATGGGTAATTGCATATGGGTAGATTGCTAGTGCTCTAACTGAACCTGATCTATATGATGGTGAATGGTTCTATGGAACTAAAAGTATAACATGATTCATAACAACTGATCCATAGGGCGATGGTGCAAATGAATTTTGATCATGTTGCTCTCGGCCCTCCATAAGGACTTATCTGTCGGCAAAAGCTAGGGACTGACAGTGCAACCGTGAGGGTCATATGGCTCTGACTTTAGCTCAGTAATAGGACCTTTTCTAGCTTGTTAGAGGTTACCTTTATGGCGCAAATGGGGCTTGCCACGTTGGGTATAGGACTGCCTCTGTTCCTATATGTATAGCCGCGATGGATATGTGCCATAGGAAAGGGGGTTCCTACATCTGCCTGCCAAGGAAACCTAGCGGCCCTAACTTGTTAGAGAAACCTATGAAATGGCTTCATAGTGTACCCTGCCCGCTCACCTTGGTAGTGACATGGGAGTAATTAACCCGGGCATATGGGAATCACGACTCGCGGTGAATGTGCACCACCTCTGCAGAGGGTAACAAACTGTTATAACAGCCGTGCTCACGGTCACGAGCGGCCCGGAAAACTCACAGAATAAATGGCTACTTATAATGTTGTTCATACATGATGATATTATGATGATGATTCATGATTCAACCGGTTCTGATATATGAATATGGGGGTTTAAAAGGGAGCTTAAGCATAACTTAATAATAGATGAGGATAAAATCTTGAATCTACTAAAAGTGCTAACTGCAGTAAACCAGTGTCATCCTTTTTGAGCCTCATGAACCCCATGTTATCTTGTTGAGTACGGGACGTACTTACGCTTGTTTAATTTTCAATATTTGGATAAAAATCCCGGATGGGTAACAGATGCCAATGGATATGAGGAGTTTCCTGAAGATTATTAGGCTTGTGGTCAACCAGTTGACCTTCCCTGTGATGGAGTTCCACGAGAGTGTCATCTTTTTAATCTTCCACTGTGTTGTGTAAGTCTATGTGATGTTATAATTCGTGATGTATGAGACACCGTGATGATACTTTATATAATTTGTCAACTTGTGTGTGAGACTGATCCCTGGGCACACATGAGTTTAGTGCATTCAATTTTATCCTTAAAATTGGGTGTGACATTTGTCATAAATCAAACTTCATTATCTGGTTTTGATCCAGTTTATAGAAAATGCACAAACATTTACAAGGTCGAAACTAGATTTATTATATACACTATTAAATATACTTTTTTGATACTGTACATATTAATATATTTTTCTATAAACTAGTCAAAGTTACACTACATTGACTTATACCATTGTCAAAATGGTTTTCGCCAATGGCATTCTCACCGCTGGTTTTATTCAAACTTGTAAGAAATACGAATCCTATCAAGGTTTTAGTGATTTTGGTTGTTGACTGACAGCATAACCATTTGGACTAACAATGATTGCGAGTATAGAAGGCCGGAACAATAGTCCATAGAATGCAAAGATGGACTTGAGCTAGTATACAAGGTGAAGATAAAATCAGTATTTTTGATGGTCATTATATGATAAATCCAACCATCAACATATCGGTTAAGTGAAAGACTATATCAACATCATAGTAGCCCAAATGACCTCAATCTGTGGCACAAGCCACACGAAACACACCATGGTGCAATCTCATGTGTTAATCTAATGACAGTTTGATCCTAGGGCTGTCATGAAGCATCCCATGGGATAAAGGGCCCACCATCCATGCAAGAAATCACAAATTGTCGGAGAAACTACCTTCGATACCTACCAACCGCCTTGGAGAAGCATTGAGAAGCGTAGGATCATAAGGGGGTGTATCCCATGGTCAGCCAACCACTTGGGTGGAGTCACTCAACCCCACCTAGCAGGCAAACCGCCTCTCCCTTAGCTAAAAATACCCCCTCTGCTCATACACACCATAAAGAGAGGTGTTGGCACCACTCTCCAAACATCACTCTAGTTACTCTCTCTTTAGTTTAGGTTGGCTTAGTTGGGAGTTAGAGTTGAGTCAAGCATTGCTTGGTGGGTTCTGGAAGTAGTCTTCGGGAGTCTTGTACAGCTCTTATATATTTCCCTTTGTAAGACATTTCAAGTTATCAATATATTATATTTCTACTTTAGTACATCATTTGAGTGCAACTTATTCCTTGCAGTTGCCTTGATCTCTAGTTAAACCATAGTGTTATAATCTTAGTCTTGTTTAGTATAACGGGATCCTTCATAGCATGAGTTTCCTCGCTCCTTAGTGGATGCTCTAGTCTGAGATTAGAGTAGTACCATATAGTGTAAACGTGAGTTTCATAGTTTTTCTAAAATCATGCTCATTCTTTTTTTTTGATAAGGAAGAGCTCGTCTTCAAATCATGCTCATATTATGGCGCCTAAATTGGAACTATTTGAGTCTTCTATGGACTTGTTTTGGTTTTTAATTGCCAGTGGATGCACTTGTATATATTATAATTATCTTAGTATAAAACAAGTGTTGTCTGATCATGTTAGTGTCACTTGACTCTATGTATGGCCATGTATAGGAAGCATGCTTTGTTTGTCGTCAAAGTATGGATGACATGACTTATAGATACCACTCCAGAAAAACTAGCAATACAAAACAAATTTTAGAAAAAAGCCTAAGAGATAATAGATAACGAGAGTATCTAATAGCGAGAATAGTCTGTGTCACTTAGCTTTCTACGTAGTTTGGCTGGTCAGCGTCAACTAATTGTAATAAATAGCGAGAGTATCTGCTAGCAAATAAACATTAAAAGGAATTCATAAAATATTTTTAAAAAATTCAAACTAGCCACCATAAGATATTTATAAGCACCACTATCAACAATATAAAAAGTCAGTACAGATATATAACGACTGACCGTAAGTCGTTGAAATAGCCTATATACCAACATATAAGGAGAAGTTAAAGATGGGTCGTGGTATAGTGATATATATGATTTTTGAAAAAAAATGAAAGTACTTTGATAAATTCTAATCTAAAACAATTTTAAAACAATTTTTCTATGATTTTTCTTATATTAAACTAGATTTGGGATTTTAAATCGTAAAAATTTTCTAGAAAAAAAACATTTAATATTTTAAAAAAAATATATATTTGTAGTCTGAATTACCCCTAAACCACGAAGTCCAATCTACTGTACACTCTTGTGGTTGACGTGACGTGACACAGCTGACGTGATGTTGTTTTACAGTTTTAGAAAAAAAAAACCACATAGAGTATACAAACAAATGATTTTATATAAAAATTTAAACCAAAAGGGGTTAAAATTCTGGTTTTCTAAAGGGGAAATCGGACTATCATAAAAGTTAATAATTAAAGGAGTCAAAAAGATAAACACTCGCTCTTCTAGGACCAGGACCAGGCCCAGCCCAGCCCATCCAAGGGTCCGATCAGGCAGCTACTCGCTCAGCTACAGGCCTGCTACACATCTGCTTCCCCCTCCGCCGTCCCCCACCAGCGGCAGCAGCCCTCCCTCCCACACCACTGCCACGCGCCACCAGCCCCGCATTTCATGTCCCCAAGGCCATTCCCCAGTCCTTATCCTCTCGACCCCTTCGTCTGCCGGCCTGGTTTCTCCGCTGCGGTGAAGATGGAAATGGGCGTGGTCGCTTCTTCTGCCAGGTCCTCTTTGCTCGCTCATGCGTGCGCTTTACATGGATTACTTTCCTCATTTCTCCTGTGCGAAATAATTTCAGTTTCGGGTGTCGATTTGGGTGGGTTAATTTGTCCGCACTGCTTGTTAGTTTAGTTTGTCCGGTGGACTGCAGCGGACGGCCCAGCTGTCCAGGAATTTTAGGTTTTTTATGCATCCGAGGGTTCTAGTGACACCATTGCCGCTTGGCGTATCAGAGTTATGCTGTGTGCTCGAGGCAGGGTGGGTCGGGGAGAAGGGGGGGGGGGGCGTATGCTTGAGGGTCGGCAAGATGAAAGATGATTGCGAATGCAGGAAAAATGATGATTGCTGCTTTCACTACCAGTGGCATAGTAGTCTCTAAAATTTTGAAGTACCACCGAATGGTGCAAAACTTTTATTTGGCTAGTGCTGTTCTTAGTACCTTGCCAATATCCATCTGTTGATGTCAATACGCCCTTAATATCTTTGTGATTTCGCTGACCAAGCTTCAACATATGGCCTACTTTAGGCTATCTGACAATGGTATGAGGCCAGTTATGAAGAACTAAACAAAAGTACCCAAAAGTAGTTGCATTTATTGTGACAATTCTGAGTCTAGACTCTAGAGTGGTCAGTGTTAAACTTGATTCTTGGTGCATCCTTTTTGCTATTTTGCTCAATTTATTTACGCCAAACAGAGAAAATCGGAAGTAAAGTAAGATGCAGTGTTGCTTGCAAAATGACAACAACAAAATCTATGGAGAAGCCAACAAATTTTGTCCTCTTTATTACAACCAAACATGGCAGAGCCACTTGTATAGAGACTTATAGCCTTATAGGCATCTTTTGTGGAGCTAAATATGTTGACTAAAAATCTCATTGTGCTAGCCATTATTGATGTACTACAGTGAAATAACTTATGATTGACAAGAGTGTATGACGCAGACTGGGTGACAACGACCATGGAAACAATTGATACTCTTTCCGTGCCAAATACAGAACAAACAATAGAGAAAGGAGAAAATGCACAAGCTATCCGTGATTCAGAACAGATGGAAAAGAAGAGAAGGGCTATTGAGTGTATAGTTGCATGGTTCAGTGAAGCTGGGATTCCTTTTAATACTGCTCGTATAGAGTTTTGACTTAATGTTAGAAGCAACTACACAATGTGGCCCTGGTTTACGGGTACGCTCTCTGGATGAGCTTGATGGCCTGCTTGGGAGGCAACTTTTAGCAATCAATGGTTCCATTGAAGCACTGAAAAAATACTGGATGTCCGAAGGATGCTCTATTCTGGCTTATATAGATCTTGGTGATGATGGAAGATGGATGTTAAACTTGGCAGTTGATTGTTCTCATGGTGTGTCATTCCTTCGTTCCATCGAACTACCTTCAGGCAGCTACGACCAAGCATTTGTTTGCCGACTAGTTGATTCTTGCATTGAAGAAATTGGAGAGAAAAATGTGGTGCAAGTGATTGGGGACGTTGGTATAGAGAAGACTGGAGCAAATCTGCCTTGAAAGAGACCGAACATATTTTGGACTCAGTGTGCTGCAAGTTCCATTGATATGATGCTTGAAGACATAGGGCATATTTGTTTAATCAAGAAAACAATCGCTAAAGCAAGATCACTCACAGCTTTTATTTATGCACAGACAAATTTGCTGGACATGACCCGCAAGTTCACCAACCAGCAGGATTTGGTTCATGTTGGGATAACCTATTACACCACTTGCTGCTTGAACTTGAGGAGCCTTTATGATAAAAGGATTAAATTGAAGACTATGTTTATTTCTAAAGAATGGGAGGACAGCAAGTGGTCAAAGGAAGCAGTGGGCAAGAAATTCTATAATTTAGTAGTGAGCAATGAGTTTTGGCATAATGTGCTATATGCTATAAATAGTTTTGAACCACTAGTGGAGGTTCTGAGGAGGATGGGGAGTGGCAGACCCTCTATGGGATACATATATGGTGAACTTATGAACGCTAAAACGGAAATTGCCTTCCGCTTTGAAAACAAGGAAGAGCACTATTTGCCAGTATGGCACCATATAGATTTTAGAATAAATTTGTACATGATGAAACCATTGCACTTAGCTGCTTATTATTTGAATCCTTCGTTCTACTATCAAAACAGACATGAAATTGAAAATACAGAAATATTCAGAGATGCACTTTTTGAGTGTGCATGTAAGATGTACCAAGATGAGTCTACACAAGAGAAAATTGTGCATCAATTGAAGCTTTACAGCACTGATTCACAGAATTTTGGAATGGTTCATGCCTTTAGTACTCGGATGGATGTTGACCCAGGTAACTTTCTTGCAGGACAGAACATCTAGGCATTTTTTTAATTTGTTTGTCAAGGTTCACAGTGTAGTCTTCTTTAGTATGATATACAAGCTAACTCTTGTCCTATATGTAGTTTCCTGGTGGCAATTACATGATGGTACAGCAAAGGAGTTGAGTGCTACGGCACTGAGGATACTGAGGTTAACCTGTGGCTCACTGGCCTACGAGCCAAGTTGGATTGAAATGGTAACTTAGTGATAAGCTAGTTTCAAACATTCATCCATCAGTTCTTCAACTTATCATAATTTCATTTGTGTAACTCAGACATTTTTTAAAAGTATAATAAGAAATTCTGTTACATTATTCTCTGTTCCTTTTCAGATCCATAAAGAAAAGCCATCTTGGATTAAAAATTTGCAATTTGAGGATTCAATGTTTGTGACCGTCAACAGAAGGATACAAGGGAAATCTCAAATGAGAGATAGAGATCATGTACTTGCGTACCTTCACCGTGACGACGAACCATTTGAATGGCTGGTGGGCATGTTTCCCTATGAGGCCCAACGACAGGATAATAGGGATTTGCTGATGGCACGAGTGAGAAGCGGAGATGGAGTAGGTCTAGCGAAGTTGGCAAATTAATTATTTATCGAGGCAGAATATGTGACATCCGATGAAGAAAGTGACGAAGAAGCACCAAGTCACTCTATCAAAAGGAAGACGTTGTCTGGTGCTTCACGCTCAAAACGAGAGAAGAGGCCACGGCTGGTCAAAGGTAATCTGAAAGATGATGAGTCTGAGGGATAGCCAATGTATGTATCAGCTTAAAAGGATGATTCATTCAATGGCCTTGTATGTATCAGCTTAAAAGGATGATGCATGGTTTGGTATGTTTTTGTGGTCTGTCAACTCTTAGGCCTTGCGGGCTTTCACTACGCCAGATTCCCTCTGTAGGAACGTGGGCATTTTTACTGTAGGGGCGGCTGGGATTGGGGGCGCCCCTACATTTGGCGTCCTCGGGCCCCAGCAGCCCAGCCGCCCCTACAGATGGCACTGTAGTGGCGGCTGGTAACTTGAGCCGCCCCTGCTGTGCCCATTTGTCGTTTTTTAAAATTTTAAATTTGAAAGGTTTAAATTTTGTCAAATGACAAGATGACTAAAATAAAAGTTGTAGATATTAATGAGTTGAACAACTTTGGTATTCATCACTTTTTATGTTGAAAACATTTTGGGTCTCAAATTTTGGTTCGAACTTGTCATTTTTTAAAATTTTAAATTTGAAAGGTTCAAATTTAGTCAAATGGCAAGATAACCAAAATAAAAGTTGTAGATCTTGATAAGTTGAACAACTTTTATATTCATCACTTTTACATCTGAAATCATTTAGGGTTTGAAAATTTGGTTTGAACTTGTCAAATTTTAAATTTCAAAATTTAAAATGTGTAAAACATTATCACATCCAAGTTTGATCAAACTTAAATGCTGAAGCATGATTTTAGAAATTTTTAGGAAAAAAAGCCATCACATTTGGAGTTAGTATGAGAAAGAACAACTAATTACAAAGTTTACCCACAGATTAAAAAGAGAAATCACACTGTTGTAGATGATCCTTACATGATCATAGTGAATAGTGTGATTTCTTTTTTTAATTTGTGGGTCAACTTTGTAACTGGTTTTTCTTTTTCGTACTAACTCCAAATCTGATGATTTTTTTCTTAAAATTTTCTAAAATCATTCTCTATCAATTTATTTTGTTGGTTTTGTCAATATATACATATGAAAAGTTTGAGCAATTTAAATTTTGAATTTCAAAAAAATACAACTTCAGACAAGATTTTGGTACCCTAAATGATATCAGCTGAAAAAGTGATAAATAACAAAGTTGAATAACTTATCAAGATCTACAACTTTTGTATTGATCATTTCTTCATATGATAAAGTGGTAATGACATTGTTCACAAATGTGACACATCTCTCGTAAGGTTTTATAAACTATATGAGATATATGTAAGATTAGTGAACAATGTGTGCTAAGAATTTGTCAAATTAAGAAATGATCAAAACAAAAGTTGTAGGTATTCATGAGTTGAACAACTTTGGTATTCATCACTTTTTATGTTGAAATCAATTTGGGTCTCAAATTTTGGTTCGAACTTGTCGTTTTTCAAAATTTCAAATTTGAAAGGTTCAAATTTTGTCAAATGATAAGATGACTAAAATAAAAGTTGTAGATATTAATGAGTTCAACAACTTTGGTATTCATCACTTTTTATGTGAAAATCATTTTGGGTCTCAAATTTTGGTTCGAACTTGTTATTTTTTAAAATTTCAAATTTGAAAGGTTCAAATTTTGTCAAATGACAAGATGATCAAAATAAAAGTTGTAGATCTTGATGAGTTGAACAACTTTTGTATTCATCACTTTTACATCTGAAATCATTTAGAGTTTAAAAATTTGATTTGAACTTATCAAATTTCAAATTTCAAAATTTAAAATGTGTAAAACATTGTCACATCCCAGTTTGATCGAACTTAAATGCTGAAGCATGATTTTAGAAATTTTTAGGAAAAAAAACCATCACATTGGGAGTTAGTACGAGGGAGAACAACTAGTTACAAAGTTTACCCACAGATTAAAAAGATAAATCATACTGTTCTAGATGATCCTTACATGATCATAGTGAACAATGTGATTTTTTTTTAATCTGTGGGTCAACTTTGTAATTAGTTTTTTTCCTCATACTAACTCTAAATCTGATGATTTTTTTTTCTAAAATTTTATAAAACATTCTCTATCAATTTATTTTGTTGGTTTTATCAATATATACATATAAAAAGTTTGAGCAATTTAAATTTTGAATTTAAAAAAATACAACTTCAGATAAGATTTTGGTACCCTAAATGATTTCAGCTGAAAAAGTGATAAATACTAAAGTTGAATAACTCATCAAGATCTACAACTTTTGTATTGGTCATTTCTTCATATGAGAAAGTGGTAATGACATTGTTCACAAATGTGACACATCTCTCATAAGGTTTTATAAACTATATAAGACATATGTAAGATTAGTGAACAATGTGTGCTAAAAATTTGTCAAATGAAGAAATGACCAAAATAAAAGTTGCATATATTCATGAGTTGAACAACTTTTGTATTCATCACTTTTTACGTTGAAATCAATTTGGGTCTCAAATTTTGGTTCAAACTTATCATTTTTCAAAATTTTAAATTTGAAAAGTCCAAATTTTGTCAAATAACAAGATGACTAAAATAAAAGTTGTAGATATTAATGAGTTGAACAACTTTGGTATTCATCACTTTTTATGTTGAAATCATTTTGGGTCTCAAATTTTGGTTCGAACTTGTTATTTTTTAAAATTTCAAATTTAAAATGTTCAAATTTTGTCAAATGACAAGATGACCAAAATAAAAGTTATAGATCTTCATGACCTCTACAACTTTGATGTTTATCAAATTTTCATTTGAGATCATTTGGTGTCTCAAAATTATTTTTATAGTTTGATTTGATTTCATACAATGATCCACATCTAGCGCAAGGCTCATCATCAGGGCCGTCCACCTTGCGATCGGACGATGGGGACAGAGTCTAAATCACACGACGAGGAGGGGGCCGCCTGGAAGGCGGTCAGCCGCGGTGCCGCGGCGGTATACAACAGAACCCCCATCCACTACAAGAAATCCTTCTTTTTATGACAAAACTCCTCATGACGAGGACTGATTTCGTCATATAATGTTACATTTTGTGACGAAATTTTTCCTGTCGTCACAAACTCACGAGGTTCAGAACTATTTATGACGACACTGAACTTTCTGTCACAGAAAGGTATAAATTTTCGTCACAAATTGTCATTCACCAGTTGCCGGTTGACGGTTTCTTTTTGTGACGCTAGTACCTGTCTTTATGTGACGGTTTTCTGGCGTCACCTTATTTTTTCCCAAATAAAAGACGCGCTCCAACGGCAATATACCCCTGCAGGTGGACCCTACCCATTTTTGTGTTGACTAGTTTCAGTCGTCCCCTCTCCCGTCTCCCCGACCTAGACTGAAGCAGGAGGCGGTGGTGGTTATCCGGCGGCGGCCCCTAGTCGGAGCGGAGGGTGGGTCGCGGCATCTGGGCAAGCCTGGTCGGCATCGAGAGGGCTTAGGGCGGAGACAGCTTCACCTCTCCTCAACTGACGGCGTGGCGGCCTCTAGGCGGAGGCAGCTCAAGATCCGCTGCAAGCGTGGCCGGCGGAGCACGGATCTCCGGTGACCGGCGCCACTCCATCACCTTGTAGGCCATGTGCTCCTACTCCCTAGGTGCACATGGTTGGCAGTGCCACCGTCATTCCCCTCCTGTCCCCCTCCATTTGGTCGGCAGTATCACCCTCATCCCCCTCCTTGCTCCTCTTTGTGTTGCCATTGCAGTTCCTAATCAATCCCCTCTCTCTTAATTAGGGCTAATGTCGCAGTCTTCATCATCTAATGCTCGCAATCATTGTTCAAGCGCAGCTTAGAGTGCCCAGAACCTGCACCCCTTGCTGTTGTGGATGCTGCGCCTCTGGCCTGGTCTGCGTCGTCTGCAGCACCGATCGATGATGTGACTTGGTTGCCGTTGATTAGATGCCTAGATTGCAGGGATGTTAGGGTGTTTGCTGCCACGACAAAGTCTGGGTCTAACAAAGGAAAGAGATTTTTCAAGTGTCATAGGAAGAGCTATGGAAATGTCAGTGCAGTTGCTCAATTTGCATTGCCCAAATTTTATTCTTGTTTGCCCTAATTTCATTCCCTGTTGTTGTAATTTGGATGCAGGGGTCATGTTCTAGGTATTGGTTCGAGGAAGAGTATGTGGTGTTTCTTGTTGATAATGGATACCTACCGTCAGTTCACCCAACCATTGCAGCAGCTTCGACAATAGATGTTCCTGAGCTTGTGGGAAAAATTGAAAGCTTAGAGGAAAATCTGAACAAGGTCAAGGAGATGGTTGGCAAGAACAGGGAAGGCATAGGAAGCTGCATTTGTCTTGTGTGTGGTTGTGTGAATGTAACAATATTCCTTTTGTTGGCCATCTTCTTGGTTGTAGCTGTTGTATTGAAGTAGGCAATTGTGATGAAGTGTGGGCCTTTGTGTTTTGTCTGTAATGTTGACAAAAGCTATAGTGTTGGCAAGAACATGTTGAACCTATTGTGCTAGATGTATGTGTTTGGCAAGACATGTATAAACTATGGGCCTTTGTGCTCTTGGACCTCTCTTGTGTGCATGAATATGTAACCTGTGCAATTGTGATCTGTGTTTGATGTGTAACCTATGTGGGATGAAATTTTGGCACAATGTATATATTATGACAATTTTGTAGTTTCCATGACATTGTCTTTGGTCATAATCTCAGAAATATAACCTGCTCTAGATTTTTTGGGCATTCCATGACAAACTTTGTATTTTACATGACAATGTCATGTGTCATATAAATTTGCAGCATGTTTTCTAGGCAACAGTATATACATATATCATGTCCATGAAATCTGGGCAGCATTATAGCCTGAGTAACTTGCATCATGAATAAAATATCCATTGAAACATAACCATTGCATATAATGTCTTACAACAAAATAAGGCACATAAAGAAGTTCATGGTTCACAA